GCTCTTCTAGATCCTGTGGGAACCTGATGGCTCTAGCTCAGGTTTGTGATCCTAATCTTACAGCTAGGGATAGAAATCAAGAGGTTAACACTGGGGCACGGGGTGATACTCAACTCCATTACTTAGGTGTCTGTGCTGGAGGTAGGCGCCTCAGTTACCACGCAGTGAAGATGTAGTCAACGTGGTGAAATCTAGAGAGCTTCTCAGCTCACCCTGCAGCAGCACCCTGAATTAGGACCCTGCATTAAACAGCTGAATTTCTTCCTGGTTTCTGTTAACAGTATTGACATACGATAGAACTCAGCTGATTGAACATTTGGGCTGATATCATTTGGGTTGCCTGAGGATGTCCTGCCATTCCAAAACATTTGAGTCTCCAATAGTTCCCAAATCAAATTTGGCAAATCAACCTTAGGACACCTTAAATGGGCTCAAGCATCTATGTATGGAGAATTGGACTGACCCCACTCTGCCTTTTGCTTTTACAGGCAATTCTTTTTGTTTTCCTTCCTCCTCTCTCAAGTGCAGTTTGAGTTTTATTTAGCAAATAGATAAAATTTGCTTTTGCCTTGTAGTTAAGAATGGGCCTAACTCAGCTCATAGATACCAGGTTGTTTCAAAGCTGAGAAAAGTTCTTCATATATTTTTCATCTGCACCACACAAACATGTTCTTTTAAAGAGACTGAAACAAAGTTCAGGAACTGGTTAGTACTCAATGCCTGAGATGATACTTGGATCAGACTTAGGCTTTGCTACTTCCACCAGTCTCTCTGATTAGAAACATAACAGTGCATGAAAACAGCACATATTTTGCAAACAGCTAATATTTAAGAACATTTTTCCTTAAAATTCACTATATTTTCAAAGTAGGCTGTGCACTGATGAGTATTTTTGGAATCAACGTTTGGGCAAATAAGAGAAAAGATTGGGAATCATTCCCTACAACATTTATTTTGCCTGGAAGGGGCAAGATCTTCCACTGGTGAAAACTGGACTATGTTTGTGAAAATGCAGAAAAATGCCTGATTTAAACTTCCTTGCACTAGTCATCTGTAGCTTCTTCATTTGCTTTGGAAATGTATACCTACAAAATCTGCAAGACAATGAGGAGTAAAGGTTGGCTTTGGGTAACTAGATGGCTGTACTTCATGAACAGGTGATAGTTTTAGTTTTGTGTTGTGCTACTTAAATAGATATAAATGGAGACTGAGCACTACGAAAGAAGCTGAATGCTTCGGACAGACTTGTTAATGTATATTGTGTTATTTATTTATTTATTTTAGATGGCAAAGAATTTGATGCGTTTGTGTCCTATGCAAAACTAGACTCTTCTGAAAGTGACTCTACTTTAATTAGTGAAGAAAAATTTGCCCTGGAGCTTCTTCCAGATATGCTGGAAAATAAATATGGATACAAGTTATGCATTCTTGAACGAGATATTCTTCCAGGAGGAGGTAAGGCCCCTGTGGATGGTAGAAGAACTAAAGATTTAGTTCTTTATAAGATTGTTTTTCACTTTCAAAAGAACCCTTATGCACCATATCAGCAAATGGTATATTTTGGTACTGGAGTCTCTGTCAAAATTTTGTGTTTTGATCCTTATATCTGACCTCCGTACCTGAGGCGTACATATGTTTGAGTGTGGTTGCTGGGAGCTACCAGGCTGGGAAAAAGCTTCTTGCCCAAGAATTTCTTTGCAAGCAGACTCCATTTCCTGAACAGAAGACCCCAAATATTTCAGTAGGTACTTTGTGGGCAATTTTAGTCAGTGCTACCTGCAGTAGTTAGAAAGCCCTCAGTACCTGTCCCAGGGAGAGACAAAGACAAGTGTCCCTTGAGACCCTGCTTGAGTAGCAACAAAGTGTGTTGAGGTCTCAGCTATGTCCTCCACCACCTGAGCAGCAAGTGGTATTCTCCAGGCTGCATAAGAACGGCCACAGTATCTCTGATAGCAAAGACATTGCTAGGGGTTATGTGATTGCTTAGCATCCCTATTTTTGGTTTTCCCTATTCCTGGGTTTTAGCTGTTGATAAAGGAACCGATAAGTTAAAAAAGTCCATTGTAGATGTCAGTAATGATCACCATTTCTTCTCCAGCATACACAGATGAAGTTGTTACAGCTATTAAACAAAGCAGACGAGCAATAATTATTTTGAGTCCAGCCTACGTCAGTGGACCAAGCATGTTTGAACTGCAGGCAGCAGTGAACTGTGCGTTGGAAGACAAAAAGATCAAAGTGATATTAATAAAGTTCCAGGCTTTCCAAGAGCCAGAGACTTTGCCTGCAGTAGTGAAGAAAGCCCTTCGGATTTTACCAATCGTTACCTGGAAGTCTTCTATTTCAGCTGCTCCAAACAAGAAGTTCTGGAAATATATGCATTACTACATGCCAGCGAAAACTACTAAGATGTTGGGAAATTGCAGCCTAAAGGGCTTTTTCCAAAGGTTATTCAGTCTGGTATATCGACACATAAATTTCACAGAGAAATCGACAGCAGGCCCAGGAATGGTGGCATGATTGTAAAATACCTTTTCTACATCCGCTGACCACTGTGGATTGTCATTGCAGTCAGCAATAGGTCACTCCAAAATAGTGAGAAGGACTGCAGTGTGACAGTGCTGCAGCCCGACAGTAAAACTAAATGGCACTGCACACAACTGTAAATGTGAGCTATCTTTCATAAATTATTATTTTATTATTATTTTATTATATTTATTATATCCTTTTGCTGTGATGTTGAGATATACATGTGAATGTTTTGTTCTTTGCACTGTATTTCTTCTGGAATATTTTTGTACTTGTTTTCTAGAAAGAGATTAAAAAAAGGAACTCCAGAGGAAGCTTGCAGTTTAATTTTCCCATGCAGTCTAGTGGGACATATCCAAACTCTTCAGACTAGTTACCTCCTCCTATGGGAACATCATTGAAGTCCCACAGGAGACTGCTACAACTGGGTATGCCAAAGGGGTTGAGCTGAAGGAGCACTGTGTCAGGGCTGATCCCAGGTGTTTCCATCCTTCCTGCCATGGGAGACAGCATTCCTACCAGTTGTGAAACATTTCACACTCAGAGACATCTGCACCTTGCTGATCCTGTCTGGTACTGGTCACTCACGGGTCCCACTGAACCTGTTGGTATTATGGGTGTGTTGCAGTCATAAATCAAAGTCCTGGCTGTCACAGCTAGTAGACTTCCAGGGACTCTGAAGTCTTTCTCATGAAGTCCTTTGGCTGCTAACTCTCCAGGGTTCTTATCACCCACTCTCAAGGCATCTTGCACTCTGAGTGTGTATGGCTCTAGCTAAGTGAAATGCAATGGTTGGTGTTCAGAAAATCTGAGTAGGAGAGCTACTGAGCTGGTGTTCTGCTGACTTCAGTTGGCCTTCAAGTTAACAAATCATTTTTTATAATGCTAAGTGGATAGCTCACCTGCCAGATTCCTTGTTGGAAAGGGGCTTCAAGAAATACTATTGTTAACAGGACCAGTATACCAAAAAAAGAAAAACTCCTTTGCAAGCAGGCTGAGCATTACCTACCTAATTTTGTATTGGGTTCAAACCCTTCAGTGGGATGACTGGTGGTGGTGCTGTGAGGCAGAAGCAGAGATAGTGCCTTATGTAGAAACAGAACATCAAACGGCCTTGCTGGTTGTACCACAGAAAATTTTGACACTGCATTTGCACCTGCATTTAGTTCAGATCATGATAAGCTTTTGAAGAAATTTTCCCAGTTGTCACCACTTGTTGCCTTTTGCTTTGCACTATAGAACAGCATAGGTGAACACACTGGATCCCTTTCCACAGAAAGTCAAGTGGAAGATATTCTCCACCCATGAAGGGTGATTCAGTCTGTGGGACCAGCTGGCCTGAAGGAAACCCCTCCCAAACATGTGCAGCATGGATGTGGGGTCCTTAGCAGCAGTTATTGTGGGGTACATCTCTGTTCTCACTAGTCTGCACTGTTTCCCAACACAACCAAATAAGGGGGCATTTTGAATAATTTGTCAGTAAATCAAATGTACTCCCATCCAATATATGTAATATAGGCTTCAGCAGCTTCTAATCAACACTGCTGTGTTTGCACACTTTGTTACCCTAACACTAAACATGGTGGGGTTTGTGGAGGAGAGAAAAGGCTAACCTTTTTAAAAAATATTCCATAAGGGTGAATGTCGTGTTGGAGGAGGATCATGTGGTTGTCCAGTAAATGCCTTGCCGGCATGAGTAAAACAAATAACAAACACAAGAGAAGTCAAGATCCAGTTTTAAGCACGTGATGTGACTCCGACCTTCCTCCTTGTGTTGTTATAATGTGCTAAGTTACATACGTACCTTTCTAAACGAGAACGTAATTTGCATGGTCCTCCAGCAGATGTCCCTACTGCAAGCCCTGCAGAGTCCGTTTATTTACACACCGAGTAGTTCTGTCACCAGGCGAGACAGGACCAGTGAGCAGTGCCAAGTGTGGTACCTGAGGTGCCAGTTGCGCTGGGGAGGCAGACGGGGAGTGAGGGCAGGAGAGGAAGGTATGGAGCAGGCTCTCCTGCCTGCCCAAGGTGCCACCATCTCTCCCACCTGATGCCATTTACCTGTGCTACATTTGCTGCCTGAATGCTGTGCAGTGCAGCTTTTTTTCTTTTTTTCTTTTTTCTTTTTTTTTTTTTTTTGACAGTGGGAAAAAAATCAGAGTGGCGACAGAAATGATGTAGTTGGAAAGGGCTTCTTATTCTTCAACGGGGTGATGCTGTGGCCAAGGTTTATCTGGGTCGGAGGAACCTGCAGAACCGGTATCTTCATACAAACTCCAGGTCCGTCTGTAACACGAGGAAAGGACAGGCACATTAGGGCCTTTTAAATGACCTTTAATAGGCAAATGAAGCAGCCCTGAGGAAGAAGCGGCCGTGGCTATGATCAGCGCAAATTGACGGGAGTGAGTGCTACATACCTTCCTGCACCCTCTATATGCTATATCTGTAATAAAATAGTCACAGCCCCAGACATGGGCTCTGCCACGCTTTCACATGCAAAGCTTTTGAACTGGTTGCTGTCGCTGTCGTGTCTGGTATGCTGTTCTGCTGCTGCTTATGTGGATGAGCCCCACCTGAGCAAGAGTTTCTTGCCTCACTACGAACCTGATCACGGGGGTGCTGTTGGCTCTTCACAAGATACGAGGCTACAGGTTTTCACAGTGGACTATGACTATGTGCAAATTCCTTATGAAGTTACTCTTTGGATCCTCCTTGCCTCTCTTGCAAAAATAGGTAAGTAAAAAAACGGGATCTTGGAGCTTCCTACCTCTGCAAGAAGTTAAAAATGTACCATGTAACCAAGTATCTTCCATGCATTTTTGTAGCTGAGATTTTTTTTTACAGCTTCTGACCTCAAAAGAACAGGCGTGTTCATTAACATGACAGTGACAAAATTCCACCTCTGAATGCTTCCAGCTTACTTAAGTAAATGTATGACCTCTAACCCTTATGTCTCTTTGGTTGTCTACCCTAGTGAGTAGCAAACGGAGCTCCCCAACACAGTGCTGTCCATCCCTTTTTCTAGTCTCTAAACATCACAAGATATCAGACTTTACAACCTGCCACAGCTGTAGAAATCAGTAACACCAGACTGAGACTTCAAGCATATTGAATTTGGGGGAGAAAAGCAGGAAGAATTCTTCCATTGTGCGAATAATAGGAAACATTTCCCTATGAGTCTTTGTTTTCCATGATTGCTGTTTAAAGTTGACCAGAAAGTAATACCAGAGGAGAGGGACTGAGAGTCTAAGATGGTGTAGGTAACCAGAGATGCAGGGTAAGTGCCTTTTGAATACATACCGATACATGTAGCTTCTACTACAGCTCCATGTAGGTATTTGAATGAAGAAAGACGACTCATGGAGAAGTAGGGACTGCAATTAACATAGCAAAAATGGCTCACCGTGGCTCTCACACGTTTGCGTTGGTGGGCTCAAATTATTTTGACCATTCAGAATTAATGCAGCAATATCAAATAAACGAAGAAGATGGTAACAATGTGAAGAGCTGCACATATGTGATCTCCCTATCCTTTTGATCTTTCCATGGGATTTTCAAACATTAATATAAAAGACGATGGTAGGTGGGAGTGCCGATTTTCTGGACGTGGCCTGAAGATAAACATTTTTCATGTCATAGTCACACAATTAGCAAAAATCATTACCACTGACCATGATTTGCCAGTTTCATAATAGCTCATGATCTCAACCCAATTTCTATAAACAAATGTCTTCACTGCTAAAATAATAATAAAAAATTTTGCATATCACATTTGTTGTTATGGCATCAGCAAAGTGTATTAGCAGTGAGCAAATTGATAAATTTCTTTATTCATCATCCATAAAAGCACAGGACTTGCCATATGGCCCATCTACTCAATATTCATGTTTTGAGCAAGAAACAGATACTTCAGGAAAACTTTGTGATGCCTCTCAAGCAGACCTGTTCCTTAGCTGGGAATTTGCAAATAATATTATTTTTGATGAAAAGTATTGAGCTGCTGACTTCAAATCTACTTGGAAGAAAGAGTTGGAATAATCTAGTTACCCAGGGAAGATTTCCAAACTGTTACAAATTTTCAGTGTTTTATTCAGGTATTATCTTCTTTCTGTATTTCAAGGTTTCATGGTGGGAAATATTTTTGAGATCTCGAAAGGCAAAAAAATCCCCTTTTTCTGTAAAACTGACTGATTGGTTTTTTTAATGATTTTTGTAATTAAAAAAATGAAATGAATAGAGTTATGAACTTAACATACTTTTTGGTAAAAACAAATAGTCTCTTAAACAAATTATGCAAAATTTCATAAAAAATTTATGAAATTTCGCTTATGAGACAAGCTGAGAGAGTTGAGGCTGTTCGTTGTTCAGCCTGGAGAAGAGAAGGCTCTGGGGAGACCTTATAGCAGCCTTCCAGTACCTAAAGCAGACTCTTTACCAGGGAGTGTAGTGATAGGATGAGGGGTAACAGTTTTAAACTAAAAAAGGGTAGATTTAGATTAGATGTTAGGAAGAAATTCTTTACTGTGAGGGTGGTAAGACACTGGAACAGGGTGCCCAGAGAAGTTGAGGATGCCCCATCCCTGGAAATGTTCAAGGCCAGGTTTGAGTAACCTGGTCTAGTGGGAGGTGGCCCTGCCCATGGCAGGGGGGTTGGAACTAGATGATCTTTAAGGTCCCTTCCACCTCAAACTATTCTATGAATCTATGATTCTAAAAATATTTTTCTTTTGACCATTGATAATTTGAGGGTCACAGAAATGCAGTCATGGCATTAGCTTCTAGAGTTACGGGATGAAGGCTGACCTAACTTCAGGCACTGAGACGCAGCCACTGGATTTATAGGTTTCTTACTCTGTCTCATTCTCATTCTTGTAAATTCTGAGAAATTCCTTACATTTCTAGTAAAGGCACCTCTCATTTGCAATATGATTACACAGTTCCTGGTATAGCGACTAAATGAGCCATTGCTAGACATTATCTTAGTGATGGTATCAGTATTAGTGTCAAATGGGAAGAATTATACTAACACAGTTGCAGTAGTGGTACACCAGTGCGGGCAGGAGGAGATTCACACCCACATTTCTATGGTGAGTGTAGCCCTTTCTCTGGAAAACAGCCTGGCTACATCTATGCTTGTAAACTAACAAGCACCCTGTCAGGACGCTGTCTGTCACTGTCCATCCCACATGAGTGTTGGTGTGCTCCTTCTCAGCTCTAGCCCATGTCGACAAGCCTCCTCCCAGGCAGTGCCTGGACAGACTGTGGGCCAGGATCTGTTCCCACAGGCAGTTTGGATGTGACCACTTCTTGCTGGGGTAGGGAAGAGAATTTGGCTGTATGGATGCAAGCTGAACCTTTCTACTTGGAAAAGTCTTTGGCCTGCCTTATTTGCTAGTGTGGACTCAGCTTTTATTCTACTGAGGAAAAAAAAAATCCCTTAGGATGCATTATTTTCTCACATATTTGATGGCTGCTGGTAGTTCTTTCAGCTCTGCTGAAATCACTGGTTTTGTTCCAGTAAACTAACTCAGAAGGTTCTTTACAAAATATTGTTTACCTTATGTAGGAACAGCAGTTTTCCCAGAAAAAGCAAGGTTAATCAGCTTGTACAAAGCCTTATGTTACTGTGGCTTGATTACTGCTGCTTGGGATATTTTGTTGTTCATGAGTACTCCCTCCCTCTGCCTGTGGGTTACGTGGAGTCCATACAATGCTTCAGGGGAGTGCTGGAAGTGGAGGGAGCTGAGAAGATGGTGGCATCTGAGCTGCTCCCTGCTCCCTTGGGCTTCTCCAAGTTCCTGGTTGGCCCAAATCCAGCGGGGGCTCTGCAGCCAGGGACCCTCCTCAGCACGTGGTGGGAAGCTGCCTTCGAACCTGCAGCCAGGGATAGCGGGGTCTTTGGGATAGAGGGACAATACCATGCCTCAGAGGTATGGCTGTAGCAGTTGGGCAGTAAGGATTCTTGAAGAGTACTTTCTTCTCAAATTGTGGAGTACCTTTTCAAAGAGGTTTCCGTATTCCTAGAAGTGGAGCTTAGACTCAGGCACACTTGCTCAGAAATAGAGAACTGGGGAGTGGAAAAAGAAGAGGTTCGCGGCCAAACTCTTTCCCTGCTTTAGTGATACAAGTCTGGGAATGTTTAATTTTGAAGGGAACAGTACTGTCTGTTTTTACATTCATAATCCTAAGAGCAAAACTTGTCTGTGTGAAGTCAGAGTATTCAAAGGCAGGCAACACATCTGTCTGACACCAGGGTAATTTAAACTTGAAAAGCACCCTAATGTTTTATTCAAGGTTTCCATCTCTATCACCGATTACCAAGACTCATGCCCGAAAGCTGCATCCTGATTGCCATTGGAGCACTAGTAGGAGCGATCATCTTTGCTTCTGATCACAAATCTCCACCAGTTATGAACACAAGTATTTACTTCTTGTATCTTCTTCCACCCATTATCCTGGAGGAGGGTTATTTCATGCCAACTCGCCCATTTTTTGAAAACTTTGGGTCCATCCTGTGGTGGTCTGTGCTGGGATCTCTGCTAAACTCGTTTGGGATTGGCCTCTCCCTCTATGGAATCTGCCAGATTGAAGCCTTCGGCCTGACCGACCTGAACCTGCTGCAGAACCTGCTCTTTGGCAGCATGATTTCAGCTGTGGATCCTGTGGCAGCTCTGGCAGTTTTTGAAGAAGCCTCCGTTAATGAGCAGCTTTACATGATGATCTTTGGAGAGTCATTACTAAACGATGGCATAACTGTGGTGAGTTTCTTTCCACTCCTTGTCTTCCCCTCTTTGGGTTCTTGCAGCTTGTAGGGTTATTGGGCACAGAACAAGAGCAGCTCTAAGGTGATCCTGGATGCATTGTTTATTTTATGGATACTCCACTCCAGTACACACAAGTAATTTTAATGTATGGAAAGATTACATCTTATATTAACTCTTTCAAAACCATATTGTTTTAGAGCTGCTGGAAGAGGGAAGCATACACACACGCATTAGACATCACACCTCGCTCTTGCATTCACTGAAGTGAATGTATAGGCTACATTTTGATTTTGCGTATGGGAACATTCTTGACATTGTGCAAACAAATAAATAGAAAATTGTACTACTTAAAGACTGGAGGCAGCAGGAGTAGTAATACAGGAGACCCTACATGCCTTAGAGAGCCCTCTGCAAAAAAAAAAAAAAAGAAAAAAAAAAGGGCCAGATGTGGACAACCTCTGGAGGCTGCACTCCTTCCTCCAGCCCCTGCAAGGAAGTTCACCAGAGACCTTAGACAGGAATTCCAAAAGCCACTAATAACTTCTCATAACTCTGTTTCTATAAGTAAAAGACCTGATATCTGACAAATATTCACTTTTCTTAGCTGTCTTATCTCAAGTTTCAGGAAACAACGCTTCTGGAATAAGAGAGATTTTGTTCATCTTTTTTTTCTATTTGTTTGTTGTTTTTGCTTTGTTTTGTTGTGTGGTTGTTTTTTTTTTTGAAACAGGAAAAGAGTGTTTTTACAGACCTCCTTTTGCTAAGACTTTTCCCCCTTTTTCATTAGTTCTACTAAAACTTGGAGCAACCTGAAATTCTAGCTGTAAACCACAACTGACAAAACCACTTAGAACACGTGTTTTTCAAGGAAGAAATTTCAAGCAGGAAATTCATTGCTTAGAAACCAAGAGGACTGCTCATGTGCTGCAGGTTAACTGCAAGCAAAGGAGTTTCACTAGATAAGATCTTTACAGAATTTAAATCACTGGAATCTAAAACACATAAAAACTATTCAGATACTGTTATACATGAGGTACAGAACAACTTGGACTTGTAAAATCTGTACAGAGTTCATTGCTGAAAGGCTTCATGGGAGAAGCACAGTTTATGAGTAATGCAAAAAGGAAAAGGAATTAAGTAGTTTCTTGCAGCCACAGCCTATTGATCATAAATCCTTCCTCTTGGTGAATCAGAGATGTAGGACTGATGTAGAACCAAGGGACAAATGTTACTTCACTTTACGTGCAAACTGCTGAAGTGTTATAGTTGTAACAAAAAAGTCCCCAATGTATTTATCACTTCTACTCATCTTTTTGGTCCCTTCAAGTGCAAACCTCAAAGGGTGATACCCCTTCCTCACTCTGGAAGAGCTTGTTTCATCCTTTTTTTGACTGGCTCTCTGCCTTGCTTTCCCTTTGTTCCCAGGTGTTATTTGTGATGTGGGTCCAACTCAC